GTGCACCCTTCACATCCAGTGCATGCCTTACACACACTGCACCCCTACACACATTACATTCCAGACACACACACTACATCCCTTATACACACACCCTAGATCCCATACATAACTATGGATCATCTACATACACACACTAGAAGCCATAGGAACACTCTGAATCCTCTACACACACACACACACACACACACACACAATATCCTATGCACACTCTGGGTCCTCCACACATACTAGATCCTCTACGCACACAATAGATCCCCTATAGGAATACACTGCACCACCTGCACACACTACATTAATGACATGCACAGGGTAATAATTTGGCGATCCCGCTGCTTGCCACCAGTTGTAATGGCAAATAATTTTGAGGCTGGAGAAGTTATTGTTACTGTCCCTGAAAATAAGACTGGGTCTGATATTATTTTTTCCTTTGAAAAATTCACTGGGGCTTATTTTTGGCGGAAGTCTTATTTCGGGGAGAAATGGTAGCAGAAGTTCACTAGACCAGTTCACTAGAGCATGGAATCCCACAAATCTATGTTTGGGGAAACTTCCCTGAACATAGATTAGCTTACTTGCGAATGGAAGATTAGCAAACTAGCGAACTAGCGATTAGGACTTATTTTCAGGGTAAGGCTTATATTACGAGCATCTGTGAAAATGAGCCAGGGCTTATTTTCGGGGATGTTTAATTTTTGGGGAAACAGGGAATAAGTTGCATTTTCTGTTAAATTTGGGGAAAACACTTGAAGCATTTGTTGTGTTGAGCTATTTCAATTACCTTTGTTTGATTTGTGCATTGCAAACAGCTGAAAGTCTGTACATTTTGACAATAATTTTGATTTTCAATGGGGGTTGAATAATTTTGATTACAACTATATAATATGGCAGTAAACACAGCAAGCATTGATTCACTTTGTATGTGTGGCTTTCACTCCTTGCATTCAGATTTGAAGAAGAGTAGAAGTCCAACTTCTAGTGGGCTATAACAGGTGCACTAAATCAGTAGCTCCAATACTCTGGTCCGAATGGTATATTCTACCTGTTAAAGGAAGACGGTCCTGTGATATGATGCCATATGGAAGGTGGATGTCTGATGTAAACTACACTGCTCAATGTAGAATTAATTCAAATTCAGCTTAAAATTATCACCTCTTGGTTATATTCCTCACGTTGGTTATATCCCTCTAACTTTACTCTAACACTGCAACTCGCTGTGTTTTTTCCCCCTAAACCATCTCAGAGCATTGATAATGCATAACATTCACTTCCAAGTTATCAAGTGGGATTCTGTATACCCTGGATTGAAATCATAGCTGAAAGTGCTGTAAGCAGATAACTTGTCACCTATCACTGCTGTCCAGATTGGACCTGCGTATGGTCTGTCTTCATAAGAGCTTATAGATGTTCAACATGGTCCCACATCTTGTCAACATCCTGACATACAGAGTCTCTGCTGTACGTGATAATTTCAAATTTGATATAATCAAACCTGCAGTCCAAGTAGCAAACTTCACTGAAACGTTGTCACCGGCTAATCTTCCCCAGGCGTATACTTGTGGACAACTCTTCCCACAATACCCAGTCATCCCTTTACTCCACATGCATTGTTTGATTCCAGGTTACCCAAAACTCTCAAAGGTCCTCCAACGCCTGACATCAGGAAAGCAGAGAGCTACAAACTTAGCAAAACCAACATTACCACAATGAAAGTACCTTTAACTTACTTATTTTTGCTTCTGTTTAATCTGTAGCTAAGGTTGTATCTCCCTCTACCTGTATGTGTGTGAATAATGATATATTATTTTGCTTTGATGACATCGCATGAGGTTTTTTTTTTTATCCTTTCAAGGATAAAAAAAATTGGACTGGCTCTGCAGTCCAATTCTCGCTGTTCTTTCCTGCTACATGAACTGGATATGCTGTTTGTCTGCAGCTAAGTTATTACACTGAGCTTTGGAAATAGCGAGCCTGCTGACGTCTGATGTCTGCGAAGTTGTTTCACTAAATTAATTCAGGGTTCTGCCTTTGCTCAAAGAGTTAAACGTAATAAAGTTAGCTCATCTTCATGCTGTTATACAAGAGACACTGAACCTATTTTGAATAAGAAAATCTCAGGCACTCACTGCGATTGCTTCCAGGCAGATTTATTGCAACGTTTCGACCTGTTAAGGTC